CCCCAAACTTACCTTCCTTTGAGATCTCCTCAACGGACAGAAAACTCTGCGTCGTTGGACGACTGAGTGGACTTCGACGTTGGTAGCTATAATCCCCTTACTCTCTTTTCCTTATGCTTTGCTTTCTCTTTCCTTTCCCTCTATCGCATATTAGTGCTGATGAGCACTCAATAGAGAGTGTTTTCATGTTTAAGTCCTTGGTTTGCTGATAATCTTTTATACTCAAAGACCGACTAAAAGAACCACATCACGAATCCCACCTTGCAGATCGTGACACATGGCTGGCTTCAAACACACTGCATTCACAAGTGATGGCTGCATCCAGCTTGTATTGCTTCACCTTGGTTGGTATTAGGAGGAGACTCGGTTTTGTTGGATCACCTGGTTTATAGAACGTCATCTATCCTGGTGTTGCTCTCATTTTAGATGAAGAGTCACTAGAGAGAACCCTGCTTAACACTCTGACATGTCAGGTGCAAAGAGCTCTTGTCTAATAAGATGTTCCTGAAGTGTCCAAAGGTGTTTTCCATATTGTGTGAGTTTTTGCATATCCCATGCCAATTGGTTCTTTCAATCAGAGGAGAAGAGACATAGGAAAAAGATGGGAGAAGAGGGAAAGGTTTCAGACAGACAGGGGGCAATGTTTGCTGGCATATTGGGAAGAGATTTTTTTTTCCTGTGAGGGTGATGAGGCCCTGCTGCAGGTTTCCCAGAGAAGCTGTGGCTGCTGCATCCCTGAGAGTGTCCAAGGCCAGGTTGGACAGGGCTTGGAGCAACCTGGGATAGTGGAAGGTGTCCCTGTCCATGGCAAGGTGAGGAATGAGATGAACTTTTACATCACTTCAAACCCTCACGATTGCAGAGGGGATCCTGCAAGCCTATGCAAGAAGGGTTCTGCTCCCCTAGGACTGCTCTGGTGCCTGTGCCCCCACCCCCCAGTTCCTGTGCCCATCCCAAGGATTTCCCAGCTGGCCCCACAGCCCGTTGCTGCTGTGCCATGGGTGTCACAAGAGGTGTTGCATGGGGACAACGGTGACATTGATTGCAACAGCCCCACAAGACACCTCAGCCCCTGTCCCTGCAGCAGGGAGGGAGTAGGGCCAGCCCCAGCACCCCCACACACACGGGGCACTCCTGGGTTGGCCCAGGCCACTTGTGCCAGCAGCAACTGGGGCCTGTCCCACCCACCAGCACTGCTATAAATCCAGCCTGTTTGGGGCAGAGGGAGATTCCCTGAACTGGACTCTTCACACAAGCAATTCCTGGTGGGTTTATTACAAACCATTTCTGCCTTGGTGTGCTCTGAGCCAACACCTTCATCAGGTGGGTCACTGGGGAGTCACTTCTGGGCCAGCAAGACGCTTCCCTGCCCTCTTGTTTCTTCCTGGGTCAGTGCTGCACAGGGATGGGCAGTGGGATTGATGGGAATCCTGGGAATAATCACAACTAGGAATAGACACAGTCCCAAGTGAGCTGGGAAGACTTTACTGACTTCAGGAAAGCAGAGGAGATAGTGCAGGATATTTGAGGATCCAGCATTGGGCTGGCTGGGGGGATGAAGTGCATTGGATAAGATTTCATTTAGCTTGGCCTCTCCAGGCACAAAGATTCCCCTGAATCCTTGACCCTGCTTTGGTGCTTGGTGTGTCCCCTCTGCAGCCCCAAGAAGACCCAGGACAGGCATCAGCCATGCGGATCCTCTACCTGCTCTTCCCCTTCTTCCTCCTGTTGGTCCACGGTGCTGCAGGTGAGAGGGACAGAGGGGAGATGGCTGAGGTGTGAACCCCTGTCACTGGGGTATTCCAGCTCCTGGTAAGCAACCACAATTCTCAGGTATTGATAACATTTCAGAGGCACTTGCTGTGAGGAAGATCTGGGCAGCTGAGGATGCAGCACAGCAACTCCTGTAGCTCATGTTACTCCTTCCCTCTGCCTTTCTCCACAGGCACATCTTGCTGTAGAAGAAAAGAACTCTGAGTGAAGAGTTTAAGATGTTGGGTTTGGTGCTCAGTTCCCACACAGGACTGGGACTCAGAGCCAGCACTGGTTCCTCTGGAACCAGATACATTTTTAACAGTTATGCCACACTCACTTTGAGTCTTTCCTCCTTCTGCAGGATCCTCCTTGGGACCAACAAATAAGGAAGAATGTGAGAAATCAGAGGGGTACTGTGGATTTCTGAATTGTAAATTCCCCTTTGTCATCAATGGACGATGTTCCAGGTTCTTCTATTGCTGCAAAAAGTAAGTTTTGGAATGACAAAAGCTGCTGTCTTGGCAGAAGCTGTTTAAAGACCCCTGAATAGCAAAAGGCTCAGCACCCTTCAGGCTCCAAGGCAGAGCTGAGGGGAGGGAAGAGAAGGTGCTTGGAGCTGCCCTGAGTGGGGCTGCAGCAGCCCCAGGTCAGCCAGGGTCTCCCCAGTCTCCTCCAGCCCCCAGGACCTCATTCAGACTTTGCAGAGGACTCAACCACTCACCAGAGAGTGAAGCCTCCTCTGTCCTTGGGCAGCACTCAGGACATGATCCAGGTCCTGCTGCACCTGCACAGAGCTGGAGCCAGGGCTGCCAGCACTGAGATAGCCCAGGTCCGACCTGTCTGCACCAAGGACTGCACCTCACCTGCCCTGAGCCTGAGTCTGCTGCACCACACCCTGGGCATTGCAGGGCAGGGGGAGAGAGGGACGGGGAAAGTTACACCACATGATGTGCTTGTTTGTTTTCTTCATATAGTTCGTGGGGTTGAGACCCTGAAATTCTTGAGAAGAACATCCCATTCGCTTCTGGCTCCTGAAAATCCCCTGCTGATGTCCCCTCTCGTCCCTGCCTGTACCATGGCCAGCTGGGGTGACAGCAGCAGTGGCAGCTGCTCCTGCTGGCTGCTGCTGGGCTGGAGCCCTGTGGTGCCAACCCCGCTGTCTTTGGGGCAGGGGCTGCTTTTCCCAGCTTGAATAAAGACGAGCACTTTGGCATTGCAGGCCTGGGCCGTGTGTGTGTGTCCTGCTGCTGGAGGGCTGCTGTGCCTGCTGCCTCTGGGGGTGGCACTGGCCTGGTGGCAGCACAAGGGCCTGGGGATGGTGCTGGGGCTGAGCAGAGGCTGTGTCCCTGGGGATGCTCCTGCCTGGCCCTGGTTTGGGGACGCTGAGCCTGGCAGTGCCTGCTGGGCCAGGCTGGCTGGGGTGCCTGTGCTGGAGCTGCCCTGCAGATTCTCCCTCTGGGGAGCAGGAACATTGTCCTGGTGTTCATAGGCCCAGATATCATTCTTTTAACAGGACATTACGCCCATGCCAGAAGAAGATGGGCTAGGAGCTGTGGACACAGTGGCAAAGCCTCATCCCTAAAATAGCCAGAGCTTTGTTGCAAGGTTCCAGCTCCAGTCCGAGCTGCAAAACCTGCAACGGAAGCCATTCCTTAAGGGGATGTGTTGTGGGCAATGTCATGGAGGATGGCATAGACATCCAGAGATCTCACATGTGACTCGTAACATTGATAGGGATAAAAGAAATACCTGAACCAAAAGTTTTTCCTTGTCTTCTTTCATCTGCTTTGTGTCTATATGGAATACTCAGTATTACAGCACAGCTTCACTGTAGCATCACTTAAATCCTTCCTTTTTCCATACATTCAATTCATTAATATCTTTCCTGCTGCTCCTTGCAGCATCAGGAGAGGGAGAGCACAGAGGCCAGGCTGGAGTCCCCAGTAGCCCAAAAGTTCCTTTTCCTGTTGCTCCCCTTGCACCAGAGAAAAGGAGGCTTCAGTTTCCTCTTCTGACACCTCTGAGAAGGATTCCCAACCCAGGGCCTTGTGTCATCCCCCCTTGTGTAATGACCTTGTGGTGCTGTGGTTTGTTGGGCACATCCAGGGACACAGGGACACATCCAGGGACACAGACCCTGCTCACTGGAAACCAGCACCCACCTGCTGCTCTGGCACAGAGGGGAACCTTTTCTGAGTCCCTTCAAGAAACCCTGCCAGTAAAACCCACCATCAGTAATGTGGGCAGGTGGTGCCTCTGCTTCTGCTGAGCATGCAGAATCCATCTGCCACATTTTTATGATTGCCACCTTGTCACTGTGACTTCACATCTCTGGGTTGGGCATGAGAAAAGGCCAAGAAGTTCCACTTGCAGTTCCCCAGCACCTCCACTCTTGTAGTTTTGGGGGGACCAGATTGCTCTGCCAAACACCTGGAGAGGAAGTGCCAAATTGGGCACAGACCCTCCTGCCCAGCAAGGACTGTCACTTCTCCCAGTGGCATGGCTTGATGGCTGGCATCAAACACACTGCATTCACAAGTGATGGCTGCATCCAGCTTGTATTGCTTCACCTTGGTTGGTATTAGGAGGAGACTCGGTTTTGTTGGATCACCTGGTTTATAGAACGCCATCTATCCTGGTGTTGCTCTCATTTTAGATGAAGAGTCACTAGAGAGAACCCTGCTTAACACTCTGACATGTCAGGTGCAAAGAGCTCTTGTCTAATAAGAAGTTCCTGAAGTGTCCAAAGGTGTTTTCCATATTGTGTGAGTTTTTGCATATCCCATGCCAATTGGTTATTCAATCAGAGGAGAAGAGACATAGGAAAAAGATGGGAGAAGAGGGAAAGGTTTCAGACAGACAGGGGACAATGTTTGCTGGCATATTGGGAAGAGATTTTTTTTTCCTGTGAGGGTGATGAGGCCCTGCTGCAGGTTTCCCAGAGAAGCTGTGGCTGCTGCATCCCTGAAAGTGTCCAAGGCCAGGTTGGACAGGGCCTGGAGCAACCTGGGATAGTGGAAGGTGTCCCTGTCCATGGCAAGGTGAGGAATGAGATGAACTTTTACATCACTTCAAACCCTCACGATTGCAGAGGGGATCCTGTAAGCCTATGCAAGAAGGATTCTGCTCCCCTAGGACTGCTGTGGTGCCTGTGCCCCCACCCCCAGTTCCTGTGCCCATCCCAAGGATTTCCCAGCTGGCCCCACAGCCCGTTGCTGCTGTGCCATGGGTGTCACAAGAGGTGTTGCATGGGGACAACGGTGACATTGATTGCAACAGCCCCACGAGGCACCTCAGCCCCTGCCCCTGCAGCAGGGAGGGAGCAGGGCCAGCCCCAGCACCCCCCCACACACACGGGGCACTCCTGGGTTGGCCCAGGCCACTTGTGCCAGCAGCAACTGGGGCCTGTCCCACCCACCAGCACTGCTATAAATCCAGCCTGTTTGGGGCAAAGCAGCAT